GTGGATAAGTGTCCGGATAATCTACTGCTGTTTATGCATCACGTGAATTACACGCATGTCCTACACTCAGGTATGTCTAGGATTTTAAGTTATTAAAATAATTAGCTAGATGATTGTAATTTTTGAAGATTAGATTATAATGAAAAACAATCTTGGCTTCTTTAGTTTAAATTTTTCTTTTATCTTAAGATTTGTTTTATTTTATATGAATTCCGTATAATTAACTAAATGTCTTGCTACTTTTAACTAGATAAACAAGGGTGAATTATATATTTATGCATAATCTATTTTAGTATGAATGATCATTTATTAAAATTAAAATCTAATAATAAATAATACAAAGATTATAACGTGAAAAGTATTCCAAAAAATATATTGAAAAATTGCCGATTAACGTGAATGTAACTTTAGTTATAATTTACAGCTTGGTATGATATAATTTTGAGTAAACATATTTATTTTGTTGCATCAATTGTTTTCAACAGTATTTGTTTTGTTTTAAAGGATCTTTTAAAAATTTGTATTATTTGATAAACAACAAGCATGGTACTTAAAAATTGACACAACACGGTAGTTTAATTTCAAAAATCAATTTCGACAAATTTCTAATCAATCATTAAATGATTTCATATTTTAACAAGCAATATTTAATAAACATGAATTCTTACTCCTTGCACCTTGGTACCACAAATAAATATAATAATTTCTGGATAAAGTGAACAATCCTTTAGTTAACATTTACAACTTACAAAAACAGAATGATCTTGTTTGTAAAACATTTCAAAATAATTTATAATTAATTATTGTTACAAATAAATAGCTTATCAGTTTAAATAAGTCAGAACTTTCATTAATATTAAAAATAATCAAGTTAATTGCATATTTTATTATTATATACAATATTATCGTAAACAATTTTAGGCAAAACAGTGATCCAGCACATATACGACAGCCACTACGCCGGCGCCCAAACTATACACGAATTCCGTGACAAATGGGCTGCACTTAAGGGACTGGTCGATGAGGGACGGTATCAGAGAATCGGTCGCCAACTCGACTACCAGTGCGGACACTCCCTGGTGTGGAGGGATGCCATATGTCAGTGGTTTAGCAATATGTCGGCCATTCGGGACATACACGATAGGGTCGGCCACTATTCCGGTCGTATTGAGGCTGAGAGTATGCACTTATTGGACGGGTATGTCAACCAAACGGTCGACCCCTGGGAGACAGCATCGGGAGGACTAGCAGTCGAGTGCAAGTCGGCGAAATGTAAGGCACAGTATGTTTGGACGGGAGATACCGGTGCTTATGATATAACGGTTCAGTATTACGATGAAAATGATGGCGTTTCCCGGTTTAAGCTATTCGTTGGCTCTAAAGTTGTCGGGGAATGGGATGCTAATGATAAACTGCCTAATAGTAGGCCATGTGGTGATACCAGTATCAGGTTTACGGCACCGGGAGTTAAGCTTACAAGTGGTGATACTATTACTGTGGAAGGCGTTCCTAATCATAAGGAAAATGCGGTTTTCGATTATATCGAGATTGTGAAAGTTGCTTGATTATAACGTTAATTAAAATGACATATTTTTTATTGAAACTTGTAAAATTCTTAAAAATTAATTAAAGAATAAATGAATTAAACACAAATATATAATTTTATTTGACAAAAAGTTTATAATTATAAGATATTAAAAATAATATTGTATAATGTACAACATACAGTATTATAATCAATGGCAATTGAAGCAAATATAATTTTAAAAATATTGTCAATTTATGTTTACAATAACCTCTCGTCAATAAACTCTTTTAGTTTATCTTTAAAAACGTCAGACAACTGAAGCTTATCTAATGTTAGCTCAGATTTGTGGTCATTTATAGCCATATTTGCATCGATAGCCCATTCGTTATATTTAGCCAACACTTGCCGACATTCTGGGCGTTGAGTTCATTCCTGGCTATACATCGCCGCCAATTGTGCTTTCAATTGCATGACCCGGGGTTTAGCACCTCATGGGTTGCCGAATAATTTTGAGATCTTTATTGTAATAATTGAAAAATCAATATTATAGCAAAATGTCTAGTTAAATATGTAATAACAAATTATAACCAATAGGTTATATACAAATAGGACCTATCAACTCTACATTATATTACTTTTGATAGCATTTATAACTAGAAATCAAATTAAAATAGATAATTTTGACCTCGTGCCACTAAAAGCTTTCAAATTATTGACGAGGTGTTATAAATTACCTATCAAGATTAGTTGTTGCAAGATAATTCATAACCAATTATGGACAAACTATAAATCTCACACTTGTGTCCATACTTTCGACCTTGAGCATTTTCCGGTGCCATATTATGGGTACCCACATCTGCCGTGTGTTTATTTTCCGCGATATAGTGTATAGTTTTGTCGTGAACTATAGCCAGGCCAAAGTCGCATAACTTAACGAACCTCCAGTTCCCTACCGATAGATTATATGCTATCAATATATTGTCGGGTTTGAGGTCTCTGTGGATGATCTGTGGATCCAATTCATGCAAATACTGAACGGCTTCCAGGATTTGTCGGTATATTAAGCACGTAATGAAGTATTCAAAGGGTTTCATGGGTTCACCCGATAATCGCTCCAATAATAAGGGTTTAGGAATCATAACATTGCGGAGGCTATTGAAGTGGAACTCCATTTGAATGAATAATCCGTTCGTTTGGCGCCAGGAGTCGATGCATTTGACCACATATTCCGAGTCCACTCTTCGCATACTTTCCACTTCTCATGAGTTTTTTGAATTCATTTTCCGTATTTTCTGTAAAACATATGCCATTGTAAACAATTTTACCCAACTACTTGTTATATAGTAAAATACTGTATGTATTATTCGTCTCATTATATAATTGCGAAGAGATTTGTATTATTATTAATATTATTGCAAAAAATAAACTAGTACTTGCTAAAACTAATCTATAAAAAAAGAAAAAGGAGGTATCGGAATAAGGATTAATCATGTTGGATTTTAATGAAATTTTACATAGTTATAAAGTAATGGACATGTAGCATATTGATATAAAAATTATTGAAAAATATTATATAATAAAAGTACATATATAACCCAAAACCCGTCGGCGCCGGTCAGGTATGCCAATGAATGGGACAATTTGGACGGCAGTATAGAGCGTGGGTTCGCCGGGAAGTCCATATTTTTTGCCGACAATAATGTGGTGACAGACCTGACGCGAGCCGAGGCCTACGCCCGACTACTGGCCTCTGTTGGTGTCAACGGGTGTGCCGTGAATAACGTGAACGCAAATACCCGGGTCATTGAGTCCGAGTTTTTGCCACAACTGAAAGGGTTGGCCGATGTGTTGAGGCGGTGGGAGGTAAGGGTTGTCCTGTCGGTGGACTTTGGGAGTCCCCAGAGTGTGGGTGGACTCACTACTTATGATCCACTGGATACCAAAGTTATAGAGTTTTGGACTAATAAGACCAAGGAGATTTATAAGTATGTGCCCGATTTGGCCGGGTATGTGTTGAAAGCTGATGCCGAGGGTAGACCGGGCCCCGCCAAGTATCACAGGTTAGTGGACAGGGATTGTATGTGATTATACCGTATATGTATATACAGTTAAAAATATTACTTTAATAATAATTATACATTTTAAAATAAAAATTTAGTATCAATTTGATTTTTCAATGGATTAAATAGCTGTAGTTTTTGACTATCATTTAGTATTTTATTATAAAATAATTTTACCAAGGTTATTAAAAACAACTTATGTTAAACATTGATCACTTAAAAACTTTAGTCAAGTTTTTTTTATAAAATTAAATAATGACTCAAATATTTACAATTATTTACAACGGTTCATAAATTAATTAAATAATTAAATGAATGTTTATGTTTTTAACTAAATTTTACAAGCTACTTTAAATTGAAATGATTGAATTTAAACACCCTGAACCAATAGTGAACTATGACTCTATAATTCTATTCAGGTATTGAATTTAAAATAATAATAAAACATAAAATATCTGAGCATTGATTCTGTAATAAAATTTATAAAAAACAACTAATTAAATATATGAAAAACATTATTACAGTTTTTACATTAACAAGTACACTAAATAATAAAACAATTAAATAAAAAACAATTTTAATCATTCCAAAGACACATGACATTAAAATTAGTTAAAACTTTCAACGATTAATAGACTACAAATAATACAACTTATTACAATACAAAACTAATAACATTTTTCAAACACTCTCTGAATGTGTGCCCGTTAATAAAAAAATTTAAAACTTTATAATTACACTAACATTATATGAAACATATTTTACAGCTTCTAATCTAAAATACCTAGCTAATTAATTGTTACAGTTTTAATTAAAAGTTAATAAAATAAATGAAAAGTTTGTTGCAATTTATAATGCTTTAAATTTAACAATCCACTAATGAAACGTCAAATTAAAAACACCAACATAACTTATATGACATACTTTATTACAGCTTTTTAAAATAAATAATTAACACAAATATTTTATACATATTAATACAGTCATTACTTTATAAAAATAAGCAAATGACTGACTGAACGCAACAAACCCATTTTAACTCCCATTCCCTACCATTCCCCACAGGACCCCGGCCCAGGCGGGCAACACCCTGGCCCGGGCGCTCAAACCACACGGCGGTCTACTTTTCTACCGGGGCTTCGTATACGGCTATCCCCTGGACTACAAGAACCTAACGGTGGACAGGGCTGTGGCCGCCTATCGTAACTTCGCTGCACTGGACGGACAGTTTGATGACAACTGTGTCCTACAGATAAAGTACGGGCCGATCGACTTCCAGGTGCGCGAGGCTGTCAGCCCCCTATTGGGTGCCCTAACCCACACCAATGTGGTGCTGGAGGTAGAGGTGACCCAAGAATATACAGGACAACAGAGACATACCGTGTTTTTGGCCGACATGTGGAAATGGATCCTTGAGTTTGACTTGAGAATCGCCAATAAGACCTCTCCCGTCAAACACGTGGTCACCGGTAAGCTGTTTAACCGTCCGGTGGCGGGACTGGTAGGTGTGGTGAACGTGGGCCGGGATGTCAATTGGATGGGTAACGACCTATCGATGGCTAACGTGTACGCGTTGGGACGGCTAGCCTGGGATCCCGAGCTAACTGTCCACGAAATAGCTGACGAGTGGACGCGATTTACGTTTGGACACAACCCTAAGGTAGTGGAGGCTGTGGTCGACATACAGGTGCGCTCTTACCAGGCCTTTGAGAATTATTCGGGACCACTGGGCGCCGGTAGCTTTACCGATGTCACTGGTAGTAAGTATGGACCGAATATACTGAGTACAGAGGGACCCAAGTATGGGGGTTGGGGTCAGTCGCATAGGGCTGACCACATGGGTATAGGCGTTGATAGGACTGTGGCTGGACTTAAGGGTGGGTACGGAACGGGATTTATTGGGGAATATAGTTATGAAGTGCAACAGATGTATGAGTCGGTGGATAAGTGTCCGGATAATCTACTGCTGTTTATGCATCACGTGAATTACACGCATGTCCTACACTCAGGTATGTCTAGGATTTTAAGTTATTAAAATAATTAGCTAGATGATTGTAATTTTTGAATGTGGATAAGTGTCCGGATAATCTACTGCTGTTTATGCATCACGTGAATTACACGCATGTCCTACACTCAGGTATGTCTAGGATTTTAAGTTATTAAAATAATTAGCTAGATGATTGTAATTTTTGAAATTTAGATTATAATTAAAAACACCTTTAGTTTAAATTTTTCTTTATCTTAAGATTTGTTTTATTTTTTATGAATTCCGCATAATTTACTAAATGTCTTACAATTTTTAACTAGATAAACAAAGGTGAATTATATATTTGTGCATAATCTATTGTAGCATGAATGATCATTTATGAAAATTAAAATCTAAATAAATAATACAAAAATTATAACCTGAATACTTTCTATACCAAAAAATATATTGAAAAATTGCCGATTAACGTGAATGTAACTTTAGTTATAATTTACAGCTTGGTAAACTATAATTTTGAGTAAACATATTTATTTTGTTGCATCAATTGTTTTCAACAGTATTTGTTTTGTTTTAAAGGATCTTTTAAAAATTTGTATTATTTGATGAGCAACAAGCATGGTACTTAAAAATTGACACAACACGGTAGTTTAATTTTAAAAATCAATTTCGACAAATTTCTAATCAATCATTAAATGAATTCATATTTTAACAAGCAATATTTAATAAAAATGAATTCAACTTGGTGCCACAAATAAATATAATAATTTCTGAATAAAGTGAACAATCCTTTAGTTAACAGTTACAGCTTACAAAAACAGAATGATCTTGTTTGTAAAACATTTAAAATATAATTTATAATTAATTATTGTTACAAATAAATAGCTTATCAGTTTAAATAAATCTTAACTTTCATTAATGTTAAAAATAATCAAGTTAATTGCATATTTTATTATATATTATCGTAAAAATTTTAGGCAAAACAGTGATCCAGCACATATACGACAGTCACTACGCCGGCGCCCAAACTGTACACGAATTCCGTGACAAATGGACTGCACTTAAGGGACTCGTCGATGAGGAACGGTATCAGAGAATCGGTCGCCAACTCGACTACCAGTGCGGACACTCCCTGGTGTGGAGGGATGCCATATGTCAGTGGTTTAGCAATATGTCGGCCATTTGGGACATACACGATAGGGTCGGCCACTATTCAGGTCGTATTGAGGCCGAGAGTATGCATTTATTGGACGGGTATGTCAACCAAACTGTCGACCCATGGGAAACGGCGTCGGGAGGGCTGGCAGTCGAGTGCAAGTCTGCGAAATGCAAAGCACAGTATGTCTGGACGGGAGATACCGGTGCTTATGATATAGGGGTTCAGTATTACGATGAAAATGATGGCGTTTCCCGGTTTAAGCTATTGGTTGGCACTAAAGTGGTCGGGGAATGGGATGCTAATGATAAGCTGCCAAATGGTAGGCCGTGTGGTGATACCAGCACCAGATTTACGGCACCGGGAGTTAAATTAGCAATTGGTGATACTATTACTGTGGAAGGCGTTTCCAATAATAAGGAAAATGCGGTTTTTGATTACATCGAAATTAGAAAAGTTGCTTGATTAGAAAATAAATAAATAATTTTTGCTAAAAGTAACATTTGGATAAATATGATATTTATTAAATTTGATAATATATTGTTTTACATCTATTGATAGATAAGTTTAATATAATTTATAATATAGGCACATATTTTAAAAAGTCAATTGAACATGCTCAATAGTATTACGAGCGCCTACTCTGGATGTATGGTTTCAAATGCTTTTCAAAAAAGTTGTCGATATCTCCGTCGAGCCATAGATTTCTATTTAGCGCTAATTTGGACTTCTGTTCAGCAATGGGTGAATGTATTTAGGTTCTCTGAGCAGGGTTCGAAAGATCTTTCAAAATACTAAAAATCATTTGCTGGCACGAACAGTGTATCAAGAACAACAAACCCTCTATTCTGCAAATCAATATTTCCTATGAATTTTATTTTTACAGGTAAAGGTATAAAACAATATATTGCACCTCTGGTTAGGATTGTCCACCGTTTTGATCATATCGAGTGAGGCACTGAAAAATGAGCAAGGTTAGTGCTTTTATTTTCAGCAAATAGTAATGACTATTCTCAAAAATGATAAACTAGATCATAGGCGCACATATAAAAGTCTCGCCAAAACTCTTGTCCCTAGATTATTTAAATTAAATATATGTTAGGATTGAGCTAGAACAAAATAAAATTTTTTGCAACTATTGTTTTTAGGGACCA